CCATGTCTAGAGGTTCTCTAGTTCCTTTTCTCTGGAAAACCTTTGTTTTCTTTTAGAAAGTTGACTGAAGGGTGGGGGTTGTGGCTCAGCAGTAGAACACTCGCCTCTCATGTGTGAGACTCTGGGTTTGATCCTCAGCACCACATAAAAATAAATGAAATGAAGGTATTGTGTCCAACAACAATTGGAAAATAAATGTTTAAAAAAAAAAAAAAAAAGAAAGAAAGTTGACTGAAGCTGGGCGTCGTGGTGCACACTTGTAATCCTAGCAGCTTGGGAGGCTGAGGCAGGAGGATCACGAGTTCAAAGCCAGCCTCAGCAAAAATGAAACACTAAGCAATTCAGTGAGACCCTGTCTCTAAATAAATACAAAAAAGGGCTGGGGATGTGGCTCAGTGGGAGTGCCCCTGAGTTCAATCCCAGATACCAAAAACAAAGAAAGAAAGTTGACCGAGGTGGGGAGGAGCTGTCCTGGCAGGAGCCAGGTACCTGGTGGTATGCAGTGGTAGAAACGACCTGCATGTCAGTCCAGCTGCCTTGAGCTCTGTCATCTCTCCACCTGTTTAGGTCCTGATGAAGTCAGGACCACTCTTCCTTATGGATCTCTCTCTCTCTCTCTCTCTCTCTCTCTCTCTCTCTCTCTCTCTCTCTCTCTTTTTTTAATTCCTTATATTAGAGCAGCTTCAGGTTCACAGGAAAACTGACCCAAAAGTAACAGAGATTTCCCTTATGCCCCCTGCCCACACACATGCACAGCCTCTCCAGTGATCAACATCTTCCACCAAAGCCTAGTGTTTCTTTTTAAAAGTCGGAAAAGTCTTTCCAAAATCCCCCACCCCAAAAAATAAATGTTATTTTATTTCTCATGACCTTTTCTGAACCAATCATTAGTAAGTAAGATTATAGAGATTGCTATTGGTGTGGGGCTAAATGGATATTGGGAAGTCATCACCATAACTACCACCATATCCCTGCTGATCTCTTTGTTCCTTAGGGATAATGTCTTTTTTACTCCTTTGCTGTCATTTTAGTTGGCTTTGGGGGAGGGACCAAGAAATAAATGTGTATGATGTTTCTGCCCTGATTAACACTTCCACATTCGTTGCAGGATTAGTCACTGTAGCCAAGATATGGAAGTGTAACCTAAGTGTCTGCTGATGTATTAAAATATAAAGAAGTTTGGGTACATATAACACCATGGAATATTATTTAGGCATAAAAAAGAAAAGAAATTCTGACATTTTCAGTAACATGGATGAACCTTGTAGGCATTATGCTAGTGAAATAAGTCAGATGGAGAAAGACAAATACTGTATGATTCCACTTGTGTGTAGAATCTAAAAGAAACAAACTCATAGAAACAGAGGTTTCCAGGGGCTGAGGGATGAGGGGAAATGGATAGATCCGAGTAACTTTCAGTTATAAGATGAATACGTTCTGGGGAATCTGGTAATTACGGTAAACAATAGTACGTTATATTCTTAAAATTTGCTGAGAAAGTAGATCTTGAGCTTTCTCACCATGGGAAGAAAAAATGGAACCAAGCACAGTAGCACACACCCACAATCCTAGATACTCAGAAGATTAAGACAAGAGGATCATAAATTTGAGCCTGGGCAATATAGGGATAACACTCATATCTTAAAATTTAAAAGCACCCCTGAGTTCAAACCCCATACCACTCCCACTTCCACACACACGCAGGGCCAGGGGTGCAGCTTGGCAATAGAATCTAGCACGCACAAAGCCCTGGGTTTAATTCTCAGTTCCAGGGGAAAAAATGGTAATTAGTGGAGGTAAGGGATATGTTAACTCTATCAATTATAGTAACCATTTCACAAACATGCATATATCACATCATCACATTGTACACCCTCAATATGTGTAGCTATTTGTTTATTGTGTAAAGTGTAATGTATTGCACCTTATTAAAGTTGGGAAAACATTAAAATAAAAAAGTCAAGGAGTCAGGCATGGTAGGGCATGCTGGTAATCACAGCAGCTTGGGAGGCTGAGGCAGGAGGATCCCAAGTTCTAAAACAGCCTCAGTAACTTAGTGAGGCCCTAAGAAACTTAGCAAGACCCTGTTTCAAAATAAAATATAAAAAGGGATGGGGATGTGGCTCAGTGATTAAGCGCCCCTGGGTTCAATCCCTGGTACAAAAAAAAAAAAAAAAAGTCGAGTAGTCCTGAAGGACATAAATCAAAAAACTAATAGCACTTGATCTTGGGCAGCAGGATTATGTGTGATGTTTTCTGTCCTTCTGTTTGAGAATCATCTAAATTGTTTTACATTGAGATCTTAAGCCGTAGGCATGTAATAGTGCAGCTTCTCTTCCCAGTCCAGAAGAGTAGGCATCGAAGGAGGACTGGGGAGATGTGTTCTTTGGTCTGTAGACCTTTGGCATGCAGAATGAATGGCATCCTTGTTTTTATAATTATGGGAAGGTGAGTGTCAATGATAAATTGTCATTCCTATGAAATTTTCATAATAATGCTGAAAAACTACTTTTGGCTTTGTTTTGTTTTGTAGCAAATATATATAACATAAAATTTGACATTTTATCATTTTAAATTGTACTAAGTATATTCAACATATGCAGCCATGTCACACACATATGCATATGTGACATGCAGCCATGTCACACCCATTTCCAGAACGTTCTCTCAACTGCAGTTGAAACTCTTACCCATTAAACACTTACTCCCCATCCCTCCCTCCCTCTGGCATCTCAAAACCACTGTTCTATCTCGTGTAAGTGGAATCATACAGTGTTTGTCCTTGGTGCTGGTGATTTCACTTAGCATGCTGCCTTCAAGGTTCAGCCATAACATAGTAGGTATCAGAATTTCACATGTTTTCTCCAGTCAGAATGGCAATTATCGAGAATACAAATAATAATAAATGTTGGTGAGGATGTGGGGTAAAGGTTCATTCATACATTACTGGTGGGACTGCAAATTGGTGCAACCAATCTGGAAGGCAGTATAGAGATGCCTCAAAAAACATTTGACCCACTTGTCTCACTCCTAGGTTTATACCCGAAGAACTTAAAATCAGTCTACTATAGTGGCATAGCCACATCGATGTTTATAGCAGCTCAATTCACAATAGCTAAGCTATGGAACCATCCTAGGTACCCTTCAACAGATGAATGGGTAAAGGTATATATATATACACATTTGGGATATTACTCAGCTCTTTTAAAGAAGAATGAAATTATGGCATTTGCCAGTAAATGGATGAAACTGGAGATTATCGTGCTAAGTGAAATAAGTCAGTCCCTAAAAACCAAAGGTTGAATGGTCTCTCTGATACGTGGATGCTAACACATAATAAGGGAGGGTGGGAGGGAAAGAACAGAAGCTCATTGGATTAGACAAAGGGGAAAGGAGGGGGGATGGGAATAGGACAGACATTGAAATAAATCGGACATAACTTTCCCATGCTCATATATGAATACACAACCAGGGCTGGGGATGTGGCTCAAGCGGTAGCACGCTCGCCTTACATGCGCAGGGTGCTGGGTTCGATCCTAAGCACCACATAAAAATAAAGATGTTGTGTCCACCGGGAAAAAAAAATGAATATACAACCAGTGAAACCTTACATCATGTTAATCCACAAGAGTGGGATCAGAATTGTAATGGGTTGCAATCATGTATGTATAATATGTCATTTTGACACCCTACTGTCATGTATATCTAAAAACAACAAATAAATAAATAAATATAACCTTTAAAACATTTCACATGTTTTTCAGGCTTGAATAATATTTCATTGCAGGTATATACCACATTTGGTTTATCCATTCAACTATTGGTGGACATTTGGGTCATTCTACACCATTGTGATTTTTAAATGATCGTGCTTTGGAATCTGATTGCATTCAGGTATTTGAGACCTGAGATTTCAAAGCAACAAAGGACACAGGGTGAAAATGAGAGAAAAGGGTGACAAATCAAAAATGCTACTTCATGTGATGGGGGCGAGGCGATTTCAAAGCAGAAATCAGAAAATCATTTCCTTTTTTTAAAAAAAAAAAAAACCTGATTTCCCCAAAACTTTTTTCCTCCCACATCAATCAACTGATAAAAACGTTGAGTAGTAAAGACCACTAACAACTATTTCTCTTCAAACTTTTCACTAATATGGATGTGTCTGTTTCTTTATGCCTTGTTTTGTCTTGCTTTTCACTGCTTAGGAAGTCTATAATGCTGCCTGTTATTGTGACATTGCTTTTCTATAAGCTTCGTCATAATTGAGATGACATCTGTTAGATTTCCTTATATTCGTGGAATTCATTCATTCCTTCATTGAGAAAAATCTCTCAACACCTACGAGGAGCCAACCATGCCAGGCGGTAGGAAAGTGGCTTGTCAAAAACCAGACTGAAGCACTCATTCTTAGAAGATGCTCTTAAACTACACGCAGCTCAGGACTAAGACACTGGCATGGCATTGGGGTCAGGAAAGAGTGGCCTATCACTGGGACAACAGCTTTTATGATGCCAGTGTGATAACGGTTTCTGAAAGTCGTGGTTGAATAGCAAGGACAGTATGCATGGGACTGTTTCTTCATTACTGGTATTTTGTGGTTTGGTCTGATCTTGTTCACTTGGTTGGAAGATCACTTTCTAAGGGAAATACCCATGTGGTGAGTACAAATCACTTTACATGCAGGTGGGTGAATTCATAGAAGATAGTTTGGGTTCAATTAACTCTCTGAGTTTTTTGCTCATCCTTGGGCCTTCCCCTCCTGCCTGGATCATGCCCCTCAAGAGCAGGCAGGGGAAAACCTAACTCCTCTGACCTACTATAGAGAGCTGGTCGCTTAACCCTTCAGCCTTAACATTTTTCCTTCAGCAAAATTGCTTTCTACCAGTCCTCCCTGACATGGTAGCAAGAGTAATCAGGCTGCTTTCTGGGCACCAGGAGACTGAATGGCTCTTGTTACCTCAGAAAAGTTGATTCTGCTTGTTCTCGACTCTTGCCTGTAGACCATCATCTGCAAATAGCATAAGTAGCAGTGCGTCTTCAAATCACAGCGGCTACGCGCCAGAGCCCCCTCTGCCCCCGGTTGGAGGTGACCTCACCAGCCGACTGTCCAGTGATGAAGGGGAGATGGACGGAGGCGAAGAATCTGAGAGGTTGGACTGTCAGTTCTCCGTGCACCATCCCAGACCTCTTGCGGTAGGCCTCCTCCTATTCCCTTCCACGTGGCTTCCCCAGGGTCACATCCTCACTCAGGCACTTTGATGATCAAGGCAGAGGCTCGAATTCTTAAGGAGAGGGTGTCAGCACAGAGCTTTACCAAAGGCTTACCCTGAGGTTAAGTGATGGCATTACAAATGCCCTTGAACATCACAGAAAGAAAGGAAAGGGCTCCTGCCTGATTATAATCCTTTAAATACTTGGGTACTTATGGCCCACCCACCTGGAAGTGAAAATGTTTGAGAAATGACATTTATGTAAATGAACTCAGGAGCTAACCTTTTGGCCTTGTCCATCTAAAAATGAAGTGTCTGATGTCCAACATTAGCAGGGCTGCTCTGGAAGCCATCCATCTTAGCCATGTGTCAGGTACCAGCCCTCGTTGGTGTTCTCCCTACTGGTTCTAAGTTATACTGTTATTATTGTGACCATATGGTGCCAGACTGAGAGAGAGGGTGGGCTGGGGTTGTAGCTCAATGGTAGTGTGCTTGTCTAGCATGTGTGAGGCACTGAGTTCAATTCTCAGTACCGCATATGAATTAATCTGGTGTATTAAAAAAAAAAAAAGAACTGAGAGAGGAATGGAGGTGGGGGGAGTTGAGGAATGGGGGAAGTATTTTTGTGTCAGCATGATTGCTTATTAACAAACAGGGCACTTTCTTTCCAATTCCTTAATAGTTCACTTTAACAATTCAGGTCATTGAAATCAAAGTGGGAAATCAAGGCATCAACTAGAGGCTGGTATATATTTGCCTTCTGAGCACATGAGAAGGGAAGTCTCTGGTGCCAAATGCAGGGGGCCTGGAACATGGGACACCACGGTGGTTTGCTCTGGTGCCAGTCTGAGCTGTTCAGGATTGGCTTTGACTACGTCTAGATCTCAGGGACCAGTAAGTTAAATGAGTCCTCCACCATGAGAGAGTGAGTTCCTCCTCCCTCCTATCTGTGTGATGAATGAAGGCCACATCCACTTTGTCCTTCCGGGGATGATGGTTACCTGTCACTCATCTAGAACCTGAGATTGCCTCATGACCCTGTACAGAAATAGTTAGGAACGACTTGGAATCCTTTTCCTGCCAGTAGTAGAAAACTCATCTGCATACACATGAAGGATATTTAATTATGTCATAAAGCAAGAAAGCTAGAATTGTGTGCTTCTATGCTTGATTCAACTCTTCCACGATGTCATGGAATTAAAAAGCACCCTTTGTAGCCATCAGTGCCTTTTGTGCATGGTTTCAGTGCAGCCACTGTGGCTCCAGGGTCACATCCTCACTCAGTGGCATTGTGCACAGAATGGAAAGGGATACACAGAAAATGGACCTTCCAAGATGATGTGTTCTCTCAGTTAAAAATAATCTTTGGCCAGGAGTTGTGGCACTCGCCTATTATCCCAGCAACTCGGCAGGCCAAGACAGGAGGATTGCAAGTTCAAAGCCAGCCTAGGCAATTTAATGAGGCACTGAGCAACTCAGAGAGCCTGTAATTCTAAACAAAATATTAAAAGAGCTGGGGAAGGACTGGGGCTATAGCTCAGTGGTAGAGCACTTGCCTCGCACATGTGAAGCATTGGGTTCGATCCTCAGCACCACATAAAAATAAATAAATAAAGATATTGTGTCCATCTACAACTAAAAAAATTTTTTTTTAATTAAATGTTTTTAAAAAAGGGCTGGGGATGGGCTGAGGCTCAGTGGTAGAACACTTGCCTAGCATGCGTGAGGCCCTGAGTTCTATCCTAAGCACCACATAAAGATAGATAAATAAATAAAGGTATTGTGTCCATCTACAACTAAAAAAAAAATTAAAAAGAAAAAAAAGAGTTGGGATGCTGCTGAGTGGTTAAGCGTCCCAGAGTTCAATCCCCAGTACCAAAAAATGATGATGATGATGATGATGATGATGATGATAAATAATAATAATAATCTTCCTATGAAGCCCTTAGACTTCCCCTTATATATCTACCCGAAACAGGCCACATGCTCACCCCTATACTAGTGGCAGAGAAAGAAAGAATTTCAGTGACCTCAGATGAAACCAGCCATGATTCGTCCCAAGGTTCTGGGGAAGGACACACCTTCCCTGCTACTGCTCCCTGTCAGATATCAGAGCAAAGGCATGGTGCTCTAAGCAAGAGGAAGACAGGTCCAGGTGAGAGGAGATGCAGTGGACAAGGTTGGCAGCCAGCAGGGCCTACGGTGACCACAGGGAAGATCGGCTTCCTACTGAGGGCACAGTATGCCAATCAGGAACGGGAGCCTCAGCAGCTGTGTTGTCTTTTATCTGTGGAATTAGATAGGTGGGGAACCAAGATCAAGAGCTCCCAAGTCTGCAAGAGAGATGGGCTTTCCCAGAAGATCAGACTCTGGAGGACATCAAGGTATTCGTCCCCAGGACAAGCTGCTGTAGTAGGTTAGCTAAACTCTGGACATGGCACATTTGTGTGCCATTAATGTTTTGCTGATTTAAATGGAAAAGCCACAGATCTGTTTCTTTGGTTTGTCTAATCTCGTGGCCAATTAATACATTAAATCATTTTTGTAATAAACACTTAATGTGTCCTTAGCAATTGGGATGAAGGAAGAAATGATGTCTAGGGGCTAGAGTTGGGGCTTAGCGTTAGAGCTCTCGCCTAGCACATGTGAGGCTCTGGGCCCGATCCTCAGCACCACATAAAAATGAATAAATAAATAAAGGTGTTGTGTCCCACTACAACTAAAAAACAATATTTTTTTAAAAAAGAAAGGAAGAAAATGATGTCTAGACCTAGAACAACTCCTACAAACAGCTGGAGACCAGCTTCTGCATTGGAAAATTCTTTGGTATATTTTCCTGCTTGGCCAATAAGAACTTAGGGACACAAAAAATGTGTTCATCAGTGATACCAGATTTGGTAGGCACTAATATTTTAATGCAAAATCCCCCAAACACAAGCACAAACAGAACAAAGGGAAGGTCTTACATTTTCTCCTAAAAACTGTTCCAAAGGCTGGAGCCAGACGGGTTTGTGGAGTGGGTGCCAATCAGCACTATATCTGGGACAGAGGCCAGGGAGCTGCTGCAGGGCTGAGGAGCAGGGAAAACTGCATTTGAGTCACAGAGTCATTTGCAAACTTGTTTGAGCTCTAGACCAGCCTAATGTCACCTTCTCAGAGGCCACTCTGTCTTCTGGCTTTCCAGTTGTCCTAACATTATGATCAAGTGGTGTTTGTAAACATTTGAATGACCATATTTCAACCATCTATTTTAAATGCAATGGTTTGCTTTAAACATTTTGGAGGAGCTTTGTCTCCCCAATCCTTTTTTTTTTTTTTTTGGTCAGGGGTGTACCAGGATTGAACTCAAGGGCACTGGACCACTGAGCCACATCCCTAGCCCTATTTTTTTTTTTTTTAGAGACAGGGTCTCACTGAATTACTTAGCATCTTGGTTTTGCTGAGGCTGGCTTTGAACTCAAGATCCTCCAGCCTCAGCCTCCCGAGCCGCGGGGATTACAGGCATGAGCCACCACACCCAGCCAGATCAATTCTTTATCACAAACCTTTATGATTCTCATACAGAGGAGGAAGAGAATGGAGTCCCTGCTATTTATACACTAATAGCCATCAGGTACATAAGCATTATATATGTAAAATGAAATAGCCACGTAGTTACTCCAAGGTGAAGTACAATAGAATATATAATAGGTATGCCAGGGGAGCTCGCAGGGGAAAGATCCATCAGATTAGCCTATTGGAAATGAGAATCTTGATTAGCGCACTGAATGGGGGACTGTCAAAGAGAAGAGAGCAGGAGAGGCAGAAGGGCAGTAGGAGCAAAAGCGTGGAAGCATGCTGTGGCCCCAGGCAGCCTGCAAGGGCCAATTCAAGCAGCTGAGGTCTGGACTAGGAAAGGAAGGCATTAGCCTGGTCAGAAGTGAAGTGGCTCTGTGACCTCTGTGACATCTGTAGGAAAGTATGGCCCATGGCACCAGAACCAGCATTTCCCATTACAAGGATGGGAGGCAGGGAGCCCCAAATTCTTTGAGAAGATGGATGATGTGGTGAACAGATGGAGCTCTGAAAAGTCTCCCTGGCTGCTTGTGATGGTTGTTTGCTTTTTAACCTAAAATGCTGGCCCAATCCCAGGAGTCGAGAATGTGGCCCCTGGTCCCAAGGAAGATTGAATGTAGCTATTGTTGGGATAGAACGTGAGGTTCTGCAGAGTATCTCAAGCTCAAATTACAGCACCACAGAAATATTTTTGGCTTCAGTACTATTTGCTTCTTTATTTTGAGTAAAATGGTACCCCTGTGTGTTTTTATGCAAATGTTATTTTTCTCTGTGTGGTTTATATTAGCTTAATAACCTGTAATCAAAATTAAAATTTTGTTTTCCTCACAGTTTTGCTCATTCGGGAGTCGCCTCATGGGACGAGGGTACTATGTGTTTGATAGAAGATGGGATCGTTTTCGATTCGCACTAAACTCCATGGTAGAGAAACACTTGAATTCACAGATGTGGAAGTAAGTGAGCAGGTTCTGGGCAGTGTAAGGTCAGAGCTGCCCCACAGTCACCCGAACCCTAACTTCTACATAAACGTCAGCAGTTGGCATTTTCACAGAGCAAAGAGAGTCTGAAATCAGGATTTGTGATTAATTCTTCAACGTCAGCTCTTCTTCATGGTTTGCCTGAAGATTTCTAGAAATACATATGATGTGCTAGATATATACTTTTTATCTTCTTTGAAGATCATTTCTGTGTTGGTAATATTCTAAACTAAACAAAAAGGATATTAGATAAGATCATATTTCTTTGACAGGGCCTTTTTACTACTATTAAGAGCATCTAAGGATATTAAGAATATGCTTTTAGTAATGTTAACGATACAATAGCAATACTACTAAAGATTTTATGATTGGTTATAGACCAATTTCTAACTGTTTTCTGTCCTGTGGGGAAAATGTGTGCGGTTGCCAACAGGGCAGACCCTGAGCAATGCTGTGAAGTTGGTTAAGTTGATCTTTGGCCCTTCCCGTCTCCTTTGGGCCCCCTCCTCACCTCCGCTTGTCCCGTTTCCTTCCCTAAATTCCAACCTGTGTTCCATTTCTCTATGGACCTTTATTCTCCAACACTTCCCAATTTACTTTCATCTTAATAGGGGACTCACAAAAGGGAAGAAACCTCGATTGGATAGAATATGCTATTATGAAGGAACAACAGGCCTAGACCCCAACAAACCATGACACACACAAAGAGCTACCTTTTGGCCCTTTGACAATGTAAGCCTCTGGGTGTCCCCCCCACCCTGCTCCTACCAACAGGAGCTCTGAAGATACTATAATCCCATGGAAGCATGGATCATGTAAGTCTGGCCCCAGATAGTCCAGGAAAGCCAACAGCTGAAACCCCTACCCCGCCCAGAGCGGTCCTGGAAAGGCAGAAAAGGCATTCCCCAGAAGTGGGAGGGAACAGCATCCACAGTTTGCCCAGTCCTCGGTTCCCTCCTCTCCCAGCAGCTCTGGAACCTCAGCCCCTTTACACAGTGAACTCGTAGACATGAGCCCCTCTGTGTATGCACTGAGCTCTCTCAGGGGACCTGGGACTATAGGTTGACATTTCACATAAACTAGGAAAGGGCCACAAGAGAAGCCTATCGTTTCTTCTCACTTAAGTGACTACCCAGTGTGGCTAAAGGGCACCCTTGACCTCTACTTGTGTCCACTCAAAAATGCAACCCAGGGGTGCTGCTGTGTGTGGGATTGATGACCATGTTCTCAGTTGCTCAGTGATCTCTCCTTCTGGGCTTGTTCCCCCCAAGATGGCAGCCTGCCCTGGTGAGTCTCTCTCAGCTCTTGGCTGCCCTGTGTTATGGAAGTGTAAATCCCGGACACGTGGAAGGAATGTGTTGATCTGTCTTTCGCTCCCTGGTGTCCTATCGGCTCAAGCTCCATATTCCTTTCCTCCTCAGGCACAGAAGCCCGAGCCACAGGGCATCAGGTCCCTCCCCCCTGTTCAGGACTTGCCTAACCAATCTGCTGTCACTGAGCAACATTGGGGCTGCCTGGGTGTCAACTCTGGAGAGCGTAGCACCACGCTGCCCTCTCAACCTCGCTGCCCAAACCCCAGGCCCCGACGGGCCCGAACCTGGAGGGATGGCAGCCGATGGGGGCATGGAAGACATTAGGAAGAAAAGGAACGGCCAAGACACTTTTTTCTTTAACAAGCATTTAACTCTGCATCAGGAGACGCCAACACAGTATTCTCTTTCAGCCAGGTCAGCATCTGGATCTCCACGCCAGCTGGCAGGGGAGGATGGGCACTGTCAGGAACTCATTCGCATCTGTGGGCTTTTGTACAGGACTTCCCTAGGCCAGTGTGCAAGGCTTACACCAGGGCACAGCCCAGCAAAGCTAAAATCCCCAGCCATTTGGCACCTAGAAAACACACAAACTGTTCAGTGTGGGAGACAGGGGTTCCCAGGGACAGCCCTTGCACCACTTCTCCTCTGTCCTGGTTCCCTCCTGCCCCAGCTGACCACTGAGGATTAGTAGGGAGAGGAAAGAAAGGAATAGAACGTATGCCAAAAGTAACACCGATTCCGATCCTGAGTGAGGGCCAGGTATGATTTAGGACGTCAACTCTGCTTGTTGGCCCAAGTTGAAGCATGAGTTTTTACTATTTAATGGGGAAAATATAAATTGAGGAATTAAAAATAGATCCTATTCAAGGTCATCAAGTGGGGTCCTCCCTAAATGAGCCCTATCTGGTATTGGTAAATAACCTGTTAGCTGCCAAACCTCTGCCACTATGCATTTCTAGCTCTACTTTAGTTGGTAAGGAAACTTGAGCCAAGGAAAGGTTTGAGTGGGATGCCTCTAGTACCAGAGTAAGGCAACAAAGACAGCAAGAAAGTTTGCTGATGCCTCACACTCTTAAGAAAAGTTCCCCAGCCCTGTTAGGAAGGGATTGTGGCCAGGCATGGTGGCACGCTCCTGTAATCCTAGCTACCCGGGAGGCTGAGATGGGAGGATTACAATTTAACGAGACCCTGTCTCCAAAATGATACAAAAAGGACTGGGGAACTCAGCCGGGGTAAAGCTCCCTGAGTTCAGTCCCCAGCACTGACCAAAAATAAGGAAGGGATGGTAGGTGTAATGCCAGTGCCAGTGGCAGACAATTTCAATTCTCAGGATGTATGTAGACCTTTCCAATCTGATTCTATGGGAGTCCTTGCCCAGCATGCATAGTCCCTGACAATCCGGTTATGTTGCTGCTAAGAACTCACCCGCTCACCCATCCACCTACCCATCCATCCATCCATTCATTCACTCATTCATTCATTGCAAAAAATATTTATGGAGCACCTAGCTTAGTGCCAAAAGGAGCTTTTACATTCTTCAGGCCACCCAATGCCATCATAGCCGCTGTGGGTTTGGCAATATTTTTTTCTTATATTTGATCTCCTGGGTCTGACATTCAAGCACACTGTGCTTCTGTATTCAGGATTCCTCTGGATTCCACCCTGAAGATGGGAGCCACAGGCTCCACCAAGTAGAGACAGAGAAGGGAATTGTCAGAGAAAGGAATGTGAGGAGAGGTGCTTACTTCTCAGTGTGGCCTCTGTCCAGAGTTCTTGGCACCTGGGTCTGGAGCCACGGCTGCAGGGTGACCTCCAGAGGGAGGGTTGGGAGAGGCCTCATCCAAGGTGCAGGTCCTAGGCTGGTCCTGCCTTCAAGGGCTGCTTTCAGAGAAAGAAAGCTAGTTCCTGATTTTTGATCAGCCCAGGAGAACAAACTCGCTGGGAACAGGGAAAGGAGCAGTGTAAGAAATAGGAAGGAACTGGCTTGAAAACATTCACTAGGGTCCTGAGGTCAATGTTCTTTCCAGCAAAATGAGGAACATGTGGGGACCCCATAGCTGCTATGCCTCCTCCTGGCCCTAGAGTAGCAAGAGCATCCCCCAGGCTGTAGATTGGAAGTGGGAGCCACTTCTAGCATAAGTCAAAAGATGGAATTTGCAGAGAGACCCCAAGAATGACCCCCTGCCTGATGCTTGCCCTGGCTCCAGGGAGTTTGCTTTTAGACACCTCCTACCCCAGCTCCAGGAAGACTGAAGAAGAAAATAGTGGCTTTCCCCTTTCCTATCCATATGTTGTCCTCCTGACCATAGCCTGCATTTACCCTCAGAACAAACTAGAAAGCTCTGGTCCCCTTCTCTGTACACACAAGTGTCCCCATATTCTCACCTTTTCCTGACAGGGGCCAGGAGGCTCTGTTGAAGGGCAGCTCCATTACAGCCCTTGGTGAGAGCTGAGGTAGGGTGGGATGAAGAGGGAAAAAATGTCAGTCCTGGATAGGGGTAACTTGACATCTTTGTCATTTCCCAAGATCCTGACCACCATGGCCATATGGAGCCAGCGACCTTGAGCTAACATTGAAATGCCTCCCCAGAGTAACCAGAGGCTGCAGGTAGCAGGAGGGTGCTGGCTCATGGAGAGGGGGCTATCCCCAGAGTATCTCTAGCCACACACCAGGTGGGGAACAGGGAAAGAGGGTGCAGTAGCCGGAAGTGGAACCTCTGAGCCATACTTCCAGGTGGCCAAGCCCTGTCCTCCCATTTCTTACTTCAAATCGGGACCTAAATGTGAAATGACCACTTCTCATTAAAGGCCACCTTCATCGCTGCCAAAAAAGAAAAATAAAGAAAGAGAGGAGGGAAGACTGCTGGAAATATGTATGTTCTAAATAACATTGCCTTTGATTGATAAACCCAAATCAGCCATTCTCCAGTACAGGCGTGGAGAATAGGATCTGGAAACCCAAAAAGGGATTGAAATAGTTGCTGGATGTTGCAATGGGGCAGCATAAGGAAGGGCCATCCTTCAGCTCTTACCATCCACCAAGGCTTCATTCTCCATAGTCTGGTCCTGCCGGGGTGTTCTCTGTGGCCCTGATGCTCAGACTTCATTGAGCCTCCCAAGTGATGCCAACCCAATGTCTCACTGTTTCTCTTTGGCTCTTCTCTCGTGTTTAGGAAGATCCCTCCTGCGGCAGATAGCCCCATGCCCTCGCCAGCAGCCCACATCACCACCCCTGTTCCAGCATCCGTTTTGCAGCCTTTCAGCAACCCCGGTGCTGTGTATCTTCCTTCAGCTCCCATCAGCTCGAGACTCACCTCTTCTTACATAATGACATCAGCCATGCTCTCAGACGCAGCTTTTGTGGCATCGCCGGACCCGCGTGTCCTCATGTCCCACACCACAGCTTTCCCCCATGTGGCCGCAACCCTCAGCATCATGGACTCAACCTTCAAGGCCCCATCTGCCGTGTCCCCGATACCAGCCGTCATCCCTTCCCCATCCCACAAGCCATCCAAAACCAAAACCAGCAAATCCTCAAAAGTCAAAGACCTGTCCACCCGTAGCGACGAGTCTCCAAGTAACAAAAAGAGGAAGCCCCAGTCTTCGACTTCCTCCTCCTCCTCCTCTTCCTCCTCCTCCTCTTCCTCCTTGTCCCTGCCGCCTTCCCTCTCGTCTCCATTGTCAGGGCCCCACAAAAAGAACTGTGTCCTGAATGCCAGTTCCGCTCTGAACTCCTATCAGGCGGCCCCTCCCTATACCAGTCTGTCTGTGCACAACTCAAACAATGGGGTGAGCCCACTCAGTGCCAAGCTGGAGCTCTCAGGACGGACCTCGCTGCCCGGCGGCCCCGCGGACATAGTGAGACAGGTGGGCACGGTGGGCGGCAGCAGTGACTCCTGTCCCCTCTCTGTGCCCTCCCTTGCGCTCCACACAGGGGACCTCTCTCTGGCCTCACACAATGCCGTGTCTTCTCTGCCCCTCTCTTTTGACAAATCAGAAGGAAAAAAGCGTAAGAACTCGAGCACTAGTAGCAAAGCCTGTAAAATCACTAAAATGCCTGGTATGAATAGCGTTCACAAAAAGAACCCACCCGGCCTTCTTGCACCGGTGCCCGAGCCCGTTAACAGCACCTCCTCTCGGCAGGTAAGGGACCTCCTGGCACAGCCTTCATCGGCTCTGGGGGGCAGGGGGAGCTGGGCAGTGCCCCTGCTTGGCCAGGTGGCTCAGACAGGTAACGCAAGCGTGGCTCCTTTTCTCATTTTCCCTGTAGGCGACCTTCACCCTCTGCTTTGAGAGCAGTTTATTTAACAAATGCTTCAGAGACTCTCACTGTGAGCTAGGCAGTGTGCTGAGCACATTACAACCATCACCCCACTTAGTCCTCACAGCCGTCCAGTGCGATTGGTAGAATTGTTGTTGCCACTTTACAGATGGGTAAACTGAGGCACGGAGCGTTTGAGTTCCCCACTCCACTTTTGTTGATTTTTTTCTATCTTGGGCTTATCAGGATGATTTCATTAAAGAGTTCTGGTGTTAAGAAGTTTGATTTGATCTGTTGGAAACCCCTCAGGAAGAGCCCAAGATCCAAGCAGGTTTAATGGCTAGGGAGTGGTAACCTGGTTTCCCAGGTTCCAGGAGATTGTCCGCAGTTCACCAGGCTGCCTGGATCCATGCCCCCTCCTAATGTAACTCTTTCCTTCCTAAAGGAAAACGGCAGCTCACGCCAAATGCATGTATCATGAGGACGCTGGGAAAACGTGGGTGGCCCAGCTGGGTGCAGTGGCACACACCTGTGATCCCAGCAACTTGGGAGGCTGAGGCAGGATGATCTCAAGTTCAGAGCCAGCCTTAGCAACTTAGTGAGGCCCTAAGCAGCTTAGTGAGACCCTGTCTCAAAATACAAAAAAAAGGGAGGGGGGGGCTGGAATGTGGCTCAGTGGTTAAGTGCCCCTGGGTTCAATCCCCATTACCAAAAATAAACCAAAAATGTGGGTGATCCAAGAAGAATGTGTGTTTCATTCCCTTGGGCTCCATTCCCAGTCCCAAATCCAGTCTGTCTTCTCGGGCTGGAGGAGCTACTTGGGAAAGGCCGCCACCACCCACTCCTCAGCCCAGCTGGTGGGAGGACCAACGCCTGCCCAGAGACTGGAGTTCAGCCTGAGGCCAGTGACCTAGAATTCATGGGCTAAACCATAAGGCTGGTCCAGGATAGGGATGAGGACTTTGGAAAGATGGGAGGCAGAGGTTAAAAGATGTCTTCATGTTTTATGTCACCATGTATGGGACTTGTTAAAACCCCATGAAGAACACCTCCTGAGGGAGGGGGAGTCACAAGTACACACTTGAACAACAGCAAGTTTGGAGCCCAAGGGGGCCAGACAGCTGCAACGAGGCCAAGTTGAGAGGAGTGCAAGATGCAGGTCCTCTGTAGCACCTGGGTCCATTCTGACCCCCCTCCCAGTTCCAGAAATAGGGATGGGGCCCTACCTGCAGATTAAACTGCTGGCCAGTGCTAGCACCAGTTTCAGGATGGAGGACACCGCCAGGGCTTCTCAAGCTAGAACGTGCACATGAATGTGAAAATGCATATTCTGCCAGGTGCAATGCTGCATGCCTTTAATCCCAGCGTCTGGAGAGGCTGAGGCAGCTGGATGGCAAGTTCAAGGCCAGCCTCAGCTACTTAGCAAAGCCCTAAGCAACTTAGCAAGACCCTGTCTCAAAATAAAAAGGACCAGGGATATAGCTCAGTGGTAGAGCATCCCTGGGTTCAGTCCCCTGTACCAAAAACATTCACATTTGGAGTGAGCAGGCTTGAGGTTGGGCCTTTGCAGCCAGGCCCAACACAGCCCACCATGTACCAAGGACAGTCACAGAGGAAGGGACATACCCACATGTCCCCAGTACTGCCGTCCCAGGGACCCAGCTGGGCACAGAACCCTGACTTCCAGGCAGGGCCACTACACTACACTGGTTTGCTGACCATGCCTTGGACAGCAAAACCATGATATCTCACTCATTTTAGATAGAGTTCTAGCAGCTGACACGTGTGATGGTCTCTGTTTCAAGCACTTCAGATATATTAACTCAATAATTACCTGTCATTGCCCCCATCGTAGAGATGAGTCAACCAAGGCACAGAAAGGTTACCCAGCTCACACAGCAAATAGAGTAGGTCTGGGATTTAAAGACAGGCATTTTGCTCTGGAGTCGGGCTTTTGGCCTCCATGCTGTTAAGGGGCTGTCTCCACATTGAGAGACAGCTGCTCTCTTGGTTCTGGGGTCTGCAGGACTGTATGAAATGCTTGGGTGCTACAATGAATCAATCAAAAGCAGTGGCAAAAAAAAATCAGATGAGTCTCCACCAGAGTGATTGTCAGGAGGAGAATCAACACTGGTGTTCACCTCTAGGGATTTCCAAGTGTTGGGAAAAGGCCATGGCCTTTGGGGTGTGCACTGATGGTCTTAGAAGGTTGGGAGAGTAAAAGCATAAAGTTGAAAAATCCAAGATAAGCCTGTGCTTTGGGGACAACTTGAGGATCCATTGAATTATGTTTGGTAGATATAAGGCCAGAATTTGCTACCAAGGTATTAAACAGACATGAACTGAGACTGTGTTGCAGGCAAATATCTTTAGGCAAAGGTGAGTTGATGTTGAGGAGGATCTATGTACAGGCTGAAAGCACTAGTTGCCTTTGCAGCCAGGCCTGGTGGTGCCCACCTGTAACCCCATTGGCTCAGGAGGATGAGGCAGAAGGATCAAAAGTTCAAAGCCAGTCTCAACAAAATTAGCAAAGCCCTAAGCAATTTAGTGAGACCCTGTCTCAAAATTAAAAATAAAAAAGGGCTGGAAATGTGGCTCAGTGGTTAAGCACTCCTAGGTTCAACCCCTGGTACAAAAAAAGAAAAAGACTTGCCTTTGCAAACAAGTCAGGAACAAGGCACTGGCCCCTGATATTAGCTCCCACGATGTCCCAGCCCACCACGTGACAAGGACAGTCACAGAGGAAGGGATCCATCCACATGTCCCCAGTACTGCCACCCCAGGGTCCTAGCTGAGCACAGGGTCCTGCCCTTCCTACACTTGCAGGGGCAGCCAGCACCATTGTGCTGATTTTCTGAATGCTGTCTCCTGGCCAGGAAACCCGATGCAGAAACAGGCCTAGGTGTCTTTAGCCACTGATGGTCCAAGGGAATCTGGGCTGGAGACAAGGTGGGTCTGCAATGTGGGTCAGAGGTAGGTGAACTTGTGTAGCCCACACGTGGACGTGCTGGGGCTCCCAGGAGAGGCCAGCTTCTCACCAGATACTTCACCCTGACACTTGCAGTCTGTCCATCTGGGGAGCAAAATTAGAAGTTCGCTACCATCCTACTTTTCCTCTGGGAACCATTGTCACTTTCTCTGCCACTGAAGATGGAAAGGCTCATTCCGAAGCAGTGTGAGAGAATGAGGCCCGTTGCACAGCCCTGCTCCTCACCCCCAGCAGTGTGGTGTCTGAGGGACTTTCCAAGGTGCCTCTGGTGTCTGAGTGGGTTTCACTGGTGTCTTTCAGGTTGGGAAAAATAGCAGCCTAGCTTTGTCACAATCCAGTCCTTCAAGCATATCCAGCCCAGGACACAGCCGACAGGTAAGTTAATGGGGGTCACGATGATCCACAGAGTCCATAACAGGGCAAAAAGAGTGGGCTGGGCATTGGGGTCAGAGGTCAGACCCTAATTCAAACCTCACCTCTAGTTAAGAGTGTGATTACCTGGCTCCCAAACCTAGCTAGGCCTTCTCGTTATTAACTTTACTCCTTGAACAAGTTACTTAACTTCTCTGTGCTTCCATTTCCTCATGTATAAAGGGGAGCCCCTCATGGCCACTAACGCCGTAAGGCTCTTGGGAGAATTAAATTAGTTTATTCACATAAAATCTCTGGAAAATGCCTGGCATGCAGCAAACACACAAGTGTTAGCTGTTATTATTATTATCAGATGTGTGATCGTAGGCAGATTGCTTCTCTGGGTCTCGGTTTTTTCATCAGTTAAGTGCCAAAATTGGGCTGGCAGGGTAGCCTCGTGGTAGAACACTTGCCTGGTACACATGAGGTCCTGAGTTCAATCCTGAGTGCTGCAAAAAAAAAAGAAAAGAAAAGAAAAGGGCAAAATTGATGCTTACGTCCTCATAGCATTGTGAAATTTAAATAAGATGATGTTGATTAAAGGGCTTACTCGTGACATTTATCAGTCTGTGCTTTCTCAAAGGCCTGGTGAACTGTACTTGTCTTTCAAGATGTGGTTTCATGCTAGGCATATTCAGGATAGATTTAGCAGTTTTTATGAACTTGAGGTGTGAGAGTAGTCAACGTACAAGCTCAGGGATATGATTTTTCTCAGTGGAGTGTGTGTGCGTGTGTGTGTGTGTGTGTGTGTGAAGAAAGCAAGGAGGGTCAGGGGTGGGGTTGTGCCTCAATTACATGTCTTGTTGTTTTGGACATGCAGTCATGTTTTATAGACACTAAAGAGCAACATGTTTGTGTTTTGCCCTTTGAGATTTTCCCACAAATCTTGGGTAGAGTGTAGGGAAAAAAGATTACGGGGAAACTTTTTGTATCCCTAGATGCAAAGGGTCTCCCCACTATTTTGAGTGGCTATGGGCCTCTTTGCACTTGAGCCTCTGCAGCCTATCATCTGTGCTAGTCTGGGAGGGTGGCGCCTCTATGCTTAGTCAGCTTCTGTGGTGGGGGGGGCCCTGGCAGAGGTTGCTGAGTGTGTCTAGAGAATACATTTTCACCCTCACCAAGCATGTGTCCATAGCTCCAGGTCCCTTGCTGGGAAAACGAATGCTGGCAGTGAGACTTAATAAATATGGAATAATACCAACAGCTACTACTTGGTGAGCACTGTCTCTGCAGCTGTGCTAAGCCCTTTACATACTGTATGTACATACTTGTAACAACCCCATGAGGGACAAGAGTATACTCCTGTGATAGATGGAGATGGCTGTCCTAAGAAGCTAAGTAACTTGAACCCAAAATCTTGCTTCTCTAAAGCCTCTGTATTTAACCCAATGGTATACTCCTTCCTTAGATAATTCACTGGGCCATCTGTAGGTTATGTAGGAAAAGGTGAACCAATAGAGGGGGAAAAAATGAAGACATCACTTATTCCAGTCCTCTCTCCAGGAGAGGAGTTCCAGGAATGTCCACTGCATTTGTCCCTGTGTTTTCCTCCAGTCCTAGGATCATGGTGACTACATAACATATCTGGAGTCCTTTATAGCCATCACCTCATTTGCTTATTACAGCTGTCCTTTGCCATGTACTGGAGGTAGGATGTTATCCTTTCTGTTATGGTTGAGAAAACTGAGGCTCCATCCTTGAATTTTCATGGGCTATCCCAAATGTATGGTTTTGAAACAAGTTTTTCTTTTCTTTCCTAGAAGAACACAAACAGAATGGGCAGGATAAGGACTCTTCCATAACAAGACTATGAAGCCACTTCCAAAACAATTCCTGGTTGTGATCCCACCCCAGGAGGCCATGGCAGGAGGAGGAGGGAGGGGAGTGGGCCCTTGGGGAGTGTCTCTTCCCTATGCCCTGCCTGTGGCTCTGGCCTTTCTTCTTCTTTTTTTTTTTTTTTAATGATCAATTTTTTTTGTTGTTGTTGTTTTTGAAGAAACAGAAAAAGGCAAAAGAACGTGGATTTGAAACTTTCAGAAAACAATACCAGTGTTTTCTTTCCATTTTTCATTTGCCACATTTATACATTCTTCCAAATTTGGGGTCACTTCCCTCACTCCTGATGCTGCTACCCCACCATAATTTTGCTTCTGCCCTGAGAGCAGACGTCGCAGAATGTCAGTTCTGGGTTGGCGCCGTCTGAACCTCTTGAACTTTAGCACATGCAGAGCTCTTCTTCCTTGTTCTCTCCCACCGCATCCCTCCCATCCCCAACCTGCCACTCACAGGGCAGGAGGGGCCCACTGGCCATCAGAAGTGGCTGGATCCCACCAGTACCCCCTGGACAGCATGCTGGTGAAGGGGTTTTGTTAGGGAGGATCCTGAGAGGAAAGAGCCAGAGGGTATGTGAGTGCCCTCAACAGATTTCTGCAGCCCAGCAGGCAAAATTGAGAACATTGGCTGCTTAATGACCTGGTTTACCAATACCAGTGTCTAGCTGTACAGCTCAGAAAAGACATACAGGAGAAGCAGAGGGGACCTGGAAGAGTGGCAGAAAGCAGAACCTGGCCAGTAGGAGACAATGTCCCTTAAAAAATGGTGGGGACCAAGTAACTGTGACGGTCTGAGCTTGTTAGGAATCAATTCTGCAGAATCCCTTCCAGGGCACGGTGTGCAGGTTCCCAAAGTTGAGTGAGTCAGAGATGGAGGAATCCCAGGGGAAAGGCCACTGAACCAAAAAAGTCACTCCATCAGGAAGCATGGTGATCTTCAGCTAAAGGTTCTCAAGTTGCCCTCTGGGGACAGGAAAGATCCTCAAGGGGAAAGCCTCCATGGAGGATCATGTATCAAATCCCTTGTGAAAATAAATACTAGCATTGCCCACTCATGCCCAGAGGGGAGCTTGCATTGCCCACCTACACCCAGAAGTGAGCATGCATTCTGTTCTCAGATGCCCCAACTCAGACAGCCACCCCTGAGAAGGAATGGTAAGGACGTGCCATCGCTTAGTGAAGAGCCATTTGGAAGAGCTGAAGAGAGACATTGGAGCATCGCAGCTATGAAGTTTTTCACACTGGAGTTTTGAAAGAAACAGCAATACCATAAACTCTAATAAGGAATCATCATCAGGAATGGAATTCCTAATGTGAAATAGGTGTTCTGTGCTATTAATTAATCTTATAAGTTTGCATACAACAGAGATGCTAGGAGGTTCTCTTTCATCCTGAAATCAGAAATGCTAGTCTCGCGGCTGGGTGCAACCCCCAATCCCAAGGTTTTCCTTTATTTTCCCATCCCCCAACCCAAAGATCAGACTACTGTTAAGTTTCACCACACGATTGGAATCTGCAAAGGTGGGAGGCCAACGGAGTGATCTGCATTGATGGAATTGCACTGACAGTATTTCTTATAGGATTACTAAATTTTTTAATATAAAAAAAGATTTTTTTAAAAATCAGGAGTTGATATTAAGTACCAGGACATTAGTTCAGATGATTTCATTTTTATTTCAACAGTGTTAAAAGTGCACTTATATGCTGGTTTATTTGAGTCTTGGAAAAAAGAGACTGCAAATTGAAGGGACGATTGTTAACTTTTTCTTTAAAAAAAAAAAAAGGTTAAGGCAGATTTTAAGACTTATAAATGTTTAAGAAATTATAAACAAGGTTAGACCCTTTGAAAAAAAAGTTTAGAAGCTATTCTTAAAGTAAATTTTTATAGTGTTAATTTTGTAATAATTTATGTTTTACTATATTACAGAGCTAACTGACCAGAATAGTTTCAGAAACAATATGAAACTTAGGAAAGTTTAAGCAATGTTTATATTTTTAAAATGTTCTTTGAATTATGTTTTTATTGTATGTTTCTTCAGACCGAAAAGTATGTACATATCTTTGTTATTTTTGCACAATTTTTGTCTTGTTCGGTTTTAGAAGTCTGATGTTTTTTATAATTTATTTTGAGTTTTAAAACTTGCAGGAGTAGAAACAAAACCAATCTCAGCAACAAAATAACCCTCTGATTTATAAACTTTTACACTCGAAGAGGGAAAACAAAGGTTGAGAGATGAAGTGGCTGCTTCTGAGAAATAGTGTCTCAACAGGGACTGATGGAGCGGGTTCAACATTTTAGCTCCCTGCGTCTTGAAATGGAAGCTGGAATAAAGAGGTTCCTCACCAAATGCTGCTTACTTTCTTGAAAAACTGGCTCTGACCAAGGTGAGGACATTTATGGATAACTGAGCAAAAAGGGAAAACCCACGGTATTTCTTCTTTCGCAATCAACCACAGGTTTACTTTGTAATGATGTATTAAAACTTGCAGCTTGAAAAGTGGAATGCAAATAAAGGTTTTCTTTGGGTTTATTTTCATGGAGTTCAACTGGACCAGCCTATAAAGCATCTTTAGGGTGGTATCCTTTGGGTCCTTCTGTTCTGCACACCCCCAAACAGCCTTCTCTCCCAGCCCCTTGACTGCACACACCCCTATTTGCCTGAAGATCTCCTGACTTGTCGCCAGCCATAGAGGCTCGAAAGCTCTGGTTAAACATAACGCAATGCATAGACCTGTCAGCCATAAAAAAAAAAAAAAAAAAAAAAAAGGAAGAAAGACAGAAAAGAAAGAAAGAGGAAAAAAAGCGACTTGGATAACTTGTATGCCTTCTTTTGTATCAATGTACCAATTGTAAATAATGCTGATCAACCTTTGTAGAGAATAGTTTATACAGCATATTCTATTATTGCTGATTCTCAGTGAACTCTTGTTTTAAAAAAGGAAAAAAAGAAATTTTCTATTTACACCTTATATTTTGTTATGCTGTTGGCCCATGGCACTTTAACAAAACTCTGTGGGTTTAGGTAGCTGGTCAGTCATGGGGTACATTA